GGAACAACTAAGGTCACACATAGCTAGTTCTGAAAACGAGGCTGACCCCGATGTTGATTGGAAAGACATACAAGCAGCTGTGGAAACAGCAGTGACATCTACTAGTGATTTAAACCACAGGGTTACAAAGAACCAATGGATTTCTTCAAGGTCTATTGCACTGATAGATTCTCGTAAACTCATCCCATCAGGTTCTGAACACGATGAAGAGCGTAAAGAAATCAGATCTAGGTTAAGCAAAAGTCTAAGGAACGATCGTGAGCAGTGGTGGGAAACGAAAGCAAAAGAGATGGAAAAGGCGGCGGCTATAGGGAACACAAGACAACTCTACAGACTAATAAAAGAAACTGGAATTAATAAATCAAGTGTAAGTCAGACTATTTCGGAAAAAGACGACACTCTCATCTGCTCCCAATCCAGACGTTTAGAACGATGGGCGGAACACTTTAAGGAGCAGTTTAGCTGGCCTTCAGCTACTCTACAACTACCCTCTATTCCCAGACAGTGTGAATGGAACATTGAAGTAGGTCCCCCAACTCTAGCTGAAGTTCAAAAGGCTATAGCTAATCTGAAACGAGGAAGGGCAGCTGGTCCAGATGGATTGGCCCCAGAGGTCTTTAAGGATGGTGGTCTAGTCTTAGCGATTAGGTTGACTAATATTTTAGCTAAATTCTGGGAGTTGGACGTAATCCTCTCTGACTGGTCACAATCACTTATCGTCCCAATATATAAGTGAGGGTCAAAATCGTCCCGTGACAACAATAGAGGGATAAGTTTGATTAATCAAGTATCTAAAACACTAGCCTCGATAATTATCGGACGCCTAACTAAGACTCGTGAACTGCAAACACGAGAGAATCATGCTGGCTTCAGACCTGGTCGTGGCTGCATCGACCACATATTCACCATTCGTCAGGTTCTAGAACACAGGCATACTTATCTGCGTTCGACAATGGTGGTCTTCCTTGACTTAAAAGCAGCATTTGACTCTGTAGACCGAGAGGTACTGTGGCAGTGTCTGTCATTGAAAGGTGTACATCAGAAGTACATAAACCTTGTAAAGGCTCTTTACTCGAACACTACTAGTGGAGTCACAGCTTATGGTGAACTGTCATCTGCTTTTGCAACCTCAAGTGGCGTCCTTCAAAGCTGTCCACTTTCTCCATTTTTTTTAACTTAATCGTAGACCTACTGATGTAAATAACGCCCTCATCGACTGAATTCTCGGGCATTGATCTCCTTCCAGGAGAACTACTTATCGACTTAGAATATGCAGATGATATAGTCCTGTTTGGTGAAGACTCTGATAAAATGCAGAGTGTTTTGGTAGCACCGAGCAACAATGCCAGAATGTTTGGGATGCGCTTCTCCCCATCTTAATACAAGTTGTTGCTTCAGGAATGGCCTGAGTAAACACCTGAACTAAGGATAGAGAGTGAAGTAGTCGAACACGTTGACAACTTCACTTATCTTGGAAGTCTGATCAGACGTAATGAGTTGGTGTCTGACGAAATCTCAGTACGGATTCGAAAAGCTCGTTCGGCCTTTGCCAACTTACGTCATTTATGGCGAAGTCGAGATATCCGTCTATCAATTAAGGGACGAGTATACTGCCCAGCAGTTCTTTCCGTTCCACTATACGGCTGCGAAACATCGCCAATAAGAGTAGAAGATACTCGTAAGTTACTAGTATTTGACCACAGGTGCCTTAGAAATATTGCTGGGATCACCGGGTAAGTAATAGTGAGGTTAGACGCAGGGTATTAGGGAATGATGGTAAATCAGTTGATGACGTTATGAATCTTCATCGACTGAGATGGTTGGACCACGTGCTGCGTATGCCTGAACACCGATTACCACGACGTGCAATGCTAACCCGTATTAGGGATGATTGGAAGAAAGTTAGGGGCGGCCAAACCGAAAGGTGACATCAGTGCTTGAAGTCACTAACTTCTGGTCTGAGCCATGTTGGTAGATTCAGACTGCCTGGTTGGGGTCCACGTGACTATCGTAACCAATGGTTGGAGACTCTTGGTGACATGGCTCAGAACCGATCACAATGGTGTCGGTGTATACACTCTCTGTCTTCCTTTAAACTAAGAGATTAAAATCACTTCAAATCTTTCTAGGAACTAATTCTATCTTCCTGTACTATCTCCTTATACACACTCTTTCTTCTATATATTACCACCACTGAATTAACTACTTCTATGAATCCGGTGTTCATCTTGTTGTGCTAATGCGATATGGCAACTTGGACCGATGCATATACGTACCTGGTCCTACGTTGCAGCTGACTGACGTACATATATTCTTATATGAACAGAGAAACCAGAAGCTTTGACAAACTACGGAAGCTATTTTCCGGGACGTTATTTCATTTAATATCAAGGCTTGTAAAACAGTAATACTTATTTTTGCACCTAATATATTCTACAGATCATAAGCTTTCGTTTTTTGTTCCGAAGCTTTTGTAATTTAAACGTATTATTTTGTACTCTGTTTTCTACGCTAATCCCCAGTTTTGGACAATTGTATTTTCCGAATTATTGTACGTTGTGGTCGGGTTAGTTATCTATTTATTTATGTACTCTCTTACACTAATCTTAAATCGGGAATAGATTGAGTAATGTTTCAGTTGTCTTGTCTTCTCTCACTCGCGTGCTTGTCAGCCAATCAGGTGGTTGGATAGTTTTCTTCTCGCTATTCCACTTTGAACTCACGCGTAATAACCTCACGGTTAAGCCGGTCAGCCTATCGTATCAATGTCTTAATCTAGACTAAAGAAGTTATCCTCAGCACCAAAAGTGAGTAGACAGATCAAGGATGTAACATAGTCTAATTAACTAAATTTAAAATAATATTAGAATACGACAAAAAAAATTATCAATTATATTATACATCATTGTATATTGTTAATGATAATACTGATCAACCATTAATTAATCACAAATAATATAAATGAACAACAGTAAAATTTAAATAAAACAAATTATTTTCTCATTTTAGTTTATTTTCATTAATAATTTAATTATTTACTAAATAATTAATAATTAAATCAATAAATTTATATTAAAATTAATTGAGGAAATTGAAAGTCTGAAAATTTCTTAAATAATAATTAAAGAGAAGAATAGAAGACAATGAAAATTTTTTTTTGATAAATAGGAAGGAAATCAAAAGAAATTTATCACAATCAACCAATCAATCGATGAATCAATCAATTAATTAATTAATTACATAACATATCAAATGGTTATTTTATCATGACTAATGACTAGAAGGATAAAGTATGAGATAATTATTATCTTAAAATATACAAGTGGAAATATTTAAAAAATAATATTATCTACCCAATATGTTTAATGAGAAAGAAAATAAATAATAAATAAATTTAAATGTCCACCAAAAATTATTCATTAAAAAAAGAAAACACTTAACTTGCAATGGCGGAATGTTTAAATGCATGTATATATATATATATATATATATATATATATATATATATATAGAGAGAGAGAGAGAGAGAGCGAGAGGGAGGGAGGGAGGGAGAGACTAGTGTGAACATCAGTAAGTAGAGAAACGAGGTATGGTAGTAGCATTATTACGATAAAGATTTTGACTTCCAATCACCAACGGTGTAGTTAAACCAGGAGCAGGAACAGTAAGATTAGATACAGATGGAATTATTGGCCAAAAACAATTGGCTGAACCAAATCCAGATAAAGCGGAATTATTTGATAGAGATGATGTTTGTTGTTGTATTGGAACACTATTAAACAAATCAGTCAATACACTAGCAGCAGTACCATTTAGATATGAATTAGGATTATAAGGAATTGCAGTTAATGGAGTTAATCCAAAATTGAATGGATTCAAAGAGGATACTGCAACATTGACTAGATTATTGGCATCTGTAAGTGTGGTTCCAGGTGTTGAAAAAACATTGGTTAGGCTTGAAACGCTACTTTTTGCAGTGTTAATTGAATTGGAAAGACTTTGTCTTAAGAAAAAAAAGATAAAAACAACAAAAATAAGCAGATAAGACAATGGTAACAAAAATCAAATTTCTCTTTATTCATTTAAGTGGTTTTCGATCGAGTTTAGCGTGAATATTGTTTACTTGAGAATAACTACCAATCATGAAAGTATAATGATATACTTGTAATAATATTGATAATAATCTTAAAAAAGTCCCAAGTCTTAAAATATTAGCCTTACTAAAATAATCGTGATGAGTAGAAAATTGACTTTCTGGCGTTCAGAAAATTAGCGCAAGTTCACTCTTTACAGAATAAATAAACCCTCCGGAGAAACGGTACAGTAGGTCGCGCTCGAAACCATATATATATATATATATATATATATATATATATATATATATTTAGTGCTATGCCTACACTTGCAAGTCCACGAGAACTAGCCATCGGGTCGCCAGATAAACGGAGGGTGTATATCGTTACCTCTCCGTTTTGGCGAGGTGAGGTCAGGTGAATGACCACGCTAGGATCCTGTGTGCGTGTTTCGGAGACACAGCATACATCAATGGTACGACATTCTAAGGTTTTAGCCAAGGAAGCCTGTTGGCTGATTTCACATAGGGTGCGTACGTTGAAGGCTCCAACGTGTATTTTGGAGCGAGGTTTCAATAGACCTGGAACAGTCTTTCGCACTATAATCGATGAACATAGTGATACATGAGGACGAAGTCAAAAAAGGAAGTTTATATTTGAACGTCGACGTAGGAGGAATAATAGGAATTGATGAAGGAAATTGATTATGAATACAGTGATCTTGAGTGCTGTTAGAGGTATGGGGGTGGTTATCACTTCCCGGTTGCCAACACCGTGGAAGGGTTCTTCTAGAGGTACCTGAAAAGGAAATTGGATTAGAGGTGGTCATAGTGACCTGAGAGCGTGACCGCAGTGCCCAAGGGACAGCTGCTGAGGTCGGTCACACACGACCTTTGCATGAGCAATTTTTGTGATAGTTCCGTACTTGTTGAGACCTTACCGCCGGAGACGAACATCCATGAGATAAGGCAAGGTGAACATTTTTACGGTCGACCTTTTCTAACCCCACCCCTCCTTGTGGGAAGGCAGCATCGCTGTTATGCTGGTTGTTTGAAGGAAACACCTTACTGCTGTCACATCTCCCTACAGTCAGCAGTATGACTTCGCCTTCGGACCTTGGTTTTGTTGCTTTTAGTCTTACTGCTCTTCAACCGACCTGTCTGACATGGTAAGACTCTGGGGAACGATTGTCGCAGTTAGTATAGCCCGATTGGTTCATCCCGATAGGGAAGGCGGACCACCACACCAAGATAGCAGCAATGGTCGGGAGCTGAAGATTTAGAAGAAGATAAAGAGTTGATTTACGCATGTTACTGTGATCGACTATGAGTCACCCCCTACAACATTTTTAACCATTGATCGTGATTATCGTGTGAACCTCAATCAAGTAGTCTTTATCTACCAGCATGGCCCAGACCAACAACAACAACAACAACAACAGCTGATTTTATGAAGTGATGTCATGTTTTGGTTTGAACGCACTGAATCTCATTCTGACCTACCTCTACACCAACTAGCATCGCCCCTTTTGGTAGGAGGTGGTTGAAGATACGCAAAAAATGTTCTAAACACCTCAGTGGATGTTTACAACCTCAACCGATTTACCATATTCGACCTGTACCTTGCAATTAGCCTCAAACATTGCACATTCGGTAATTTCACTATTCGCAAGTAATACTTTAAAGGTATCTATGATCAGAAACCTATAGCCTTCAATCTCTAGATAAACCATTAAAAATTATACCTAATAAATCTATTCAATCACTCAGAAGACACTGAATAAAGAAAACTCAAATAACTTAAAATAACTTTTTAAAACTTACAGAAGATATTCAGATCAAGTAGACTAACTTTTGTGGGTTCAGTATCTTTGAAAAAATCTAATCTTATATTAAAAAAGTATGAAATATACAAATGATCTCTAATACAAGTCATTGTATGTAAAACAACTGTGGAGAATTAGAAAGAGATGAATAACTGGCATTCTAAACTGGAATTACTATTGTACCGTATCTATTCAAATAATATTAAAACGGAACATAAAAAACCATCACACTTATTTATATGACCATGATTTCAATAAATGACATTTTTTTCATTGATACAAAATTGTATTTGGTTGACTACAGTGTCAAGGTTAACAAGAAGTCACTGTAATATTTGAACATTTGAGTACAATAATTATCAAGGATGTTAATTGATAAGAAACGTGGAAGAAAACATACAACAGAAATATCAATTCAATAAATTACTGGGGTTTTTTCAATCAGTACTCGATAGATATGGATAGACAAAATGAAAAATATTGTTAAAATTCATAATAACTTACGTTAAAGTATGTTCGTTATTTTTATTTCGATTATCATGAATTTGTGAAATACCAGTATTAGTAGTATCTGTCAATGTATTTGATGAACTGGTTTTATTTTCATTGATATTCAATTGTGTCTTTGACAAAGAATTAACTTTCAATAATGTATTACTATTATTATTATTATTATGAGTAGTAGTAGTAGTAGTATTAGTAGTATCATTTAAATTTGCATTCGATTTATACATTTGATAAATTTGATTAGTTAAATTATTATTATTAGCTATGCCCAAATCTGATTGTACACAACTATTACTATTACCAATCAGTGAAGCTAACCATAATTTAGTTTCATTTGAATTTAAATCTAAATTTGTTCCCAATTGAATCGATGATCCAATAGATGTTGGCGTTGATGATGATAATGATGATGGTGATGATGATGATGTGAAAAGATTTAAATTTTGTCCATTATTAGAATGATTTATTAACGGTAAATTAATTTGTGATGTGGGAAAATTTAGATTTGAAGCTAAGAATGGAGCAGTAGCAAGCTATTTAAAGAGAACAATTTAAAAAAAATTAGACAAAAATAACTATTAACTAGATTGTATATGATACTTACGAGTAGGAACACAATAGATGGGGAAATAATCTCTATGAAACAATATGTTATCCTCTCATGATTGTTTATCAGTTCTGCTTATTAAAAATGAATTTATAATCTTTCCCAGAAGGTTGTAAAAGTATAACTGGTATTCATCTATGTTATGTACTGAGATAAGAATAATGAATGGTAACTTTTGGGATCCATTTATGGACCAATACTATGCGTATATTTTTATCGTATAATTTCTATGTAACTAAACTGTTCATATTCATATCCCTCTTATTATGAGCTTTATTTTGACCTATGAACTATTATTATACGATCTACCATTCTTGAATTATACTCTGTCTATTAATTACTACCTCCCCCATTCACAGCCACATTTGGTTAATTTTTGTACAAATGTTGTTTCATATTTTATGGTACGTTGTGGTTTGTCTGGTTGATATATAAACACAGTATGCTTGAAATAAATGATTTATATCGCAGAGGTTGAGACTGGTGTTCTGGACTTAACTAGCTGGGTTAGGCGGGAAGCAGGACCAATAAGGACTATAGACTGCTCGTACGGGTTTTATGCGTCACTGGTCCGATCGATAATTCACTGATCTCTGATTGGCGGTATCGTTACGTTATACAATAAACAAGGCACATAGGTCACAAGTTATAACAATTGGCGAAGGGATAAAAAACAAAGAATCAAGGGTACAAAACCACAATCCAGAATGAGGAATGGGGATACAAAAGAAAAGCAGGCTCTTGATAATTGATTCAGTACCTAGTCAATACAGTAGTAATGTATCACTTTCATGTTAATAGCATTACGCACAATCAAAATTTATATAAAGTAAAACAACATCCACTTCCGCAACGACCAAGTTACAAAGCTGTGAATTGCCACAGAACTAAACTAGTATCTAGACACGATAGTTTTCCCTGAAACAAGTATGTATCAACTATTAAAAAAAACTGTCAACTGTGATAAATGTTTGAGATATATATCTCTCTCTAGAGACTCATTCAGACTATAAATATGTATAAATAAATAGAAAATGTACACAGTGCTAACATAGGATTTTGAGTTTTATCCACCCTTGGGAATCGATATTATCAATTTAATCTAGTCAGTTAGGTGTTTTGATACAACACTCTATAGATTGTCCCACCAAGGTGGTGATCAGTTTAAATGCCTTTCAACAATCAAAAAAATGAACCTTGGTTACTTTTCCTTAAAGCTATCAGGTACTTTATGCCACAAAAAATACAATATAATCCAATACAATGGACAGTAAAGAAGTTATTCATAGTATGGAGCGTAATACCGTATCAAATAATTGGTGGATATCAATCATAGATAACAACTTTGTCATGTTGAAAATCCTATTTTATTGAAGTGTGCAGCACGTTACCAAACATCTTAACAATAAAGTAAACAGTAGGTTCAAAGTGCGAAAAATATTGTTTTCGAATGCATAAAACAGACACTCAAACTATCTAATGACTAGAGCATTCTCATAAACCTAAGAATGAAATCTTAACAGTTTTTGCATAAAGATTTATAGAGTATGGCTGCCTATTTTCGCAGCTTATAACTGAGATTGCGTTACTGAGTCTGAAGTCATTTTCACAGACCGTTTTCTATCATAAAAATACATAATTCGATTATTTCTCACCACATACATTGACAATGTAGATGTGAACTGGTGAACGTGATAGGATATGAGATAATCACAGATACGACGTTAAAGTCTTTGTGGATTCATAGGTTTTGTACTATGTGACGAACAGCTTGACAGTATAAAATGTCTTCTTGATGGCTGTTTTAAAGCTATATTGCCTGACTGTCCTTCTATATATAGTATCATGATATAAACCTTATTTTCAGGATAGGATCTAGAATGAGTAGAAATGCTACTTGACTTTGAGCCATATGAGTTGCAAATGATAGAACAGGTGCATATTGCGCACATTTTCAGATCAACTCCGTTAACTCATTATACTATCGAAATTTGTATAAAGTTGGATTGTCTTGAAAAATTAAATGTTTCAATGAAGCTAATTTGTGGAGATATGCCTGACAAGTTTATTTTGTAAATAGTTTTTAATGTTATTTGTATTTATTCTGTTAATTTCCCACTGCATGTACATTTATCAATAAATGATTGTACCTGTTGTTTAAGTGTATGACCTTGAACACTTTTTCCGTTGTAATACTACATAGCGTGACACGTTTGTGGTTGTTTCCCAAATACACTACTTCGCACATACCTCTCATTCTACATTCACTCGCATTTGTGTTAACCGAAGTCTGAATCAAATACCATTTACATTTACAGACTGTAATTGGAATATACCATATATATACCGCTGGATCATATCATTGGGGAATCCATCACACTTACTGGAATTATTAACCATCTATAATTGTGGATATTTAATACCAGATCAATTTGGAACACGCACTCTCCTGGTGAACTAAGTAACGTTCCTTAATTCTATTGTGTTTATAACATTTAACTTATATCTATATATATATTATTATTTGTTATTAATAACTGTTATTATCTTTTGGATTAATATATTGTCTGGTCCACCACAAATTCATCTCACCGGTTGGTGGTCATAAGGAAAGTTCTTACGAGGTGAAATCAATTCAAGAAACGAGAAGTAGCACTGGATAGTAGTCTAGATTTCAGTTAACTCAGTGAAATTTAATAACCACATATAGATTAACGAAATTTGAGTGTTGATTAACAGTTATCTTCAAAGTTGAAGTTACTACAACACAGTCCAAAACAAAGTACATGAAGATTTGAGTTTAGGACTCAATGAATCTTAAATTCGAGTGGACATATCAATCAGCTATACAGTTCGATGTAGTTTGAAATGATGTGTAATAAGATTTGAAGGTTTGAGGCTAAATCTTAGGAATGATTTACAGTAAATACACTCCCTGACGAGTATTGAACTTAAGTTATATAATACTACCTTCAGTATAATATATAATTGTTAAGTTCTCTACTCGAATACGCACGAAAAGACTCTATAACGGATGACACTCAAACGTTATAACCTCCAATCGCTCTCAAGTAAGAAGACGAAAGACGTTTGTGAGCACTTATTGACAAGAATCAAAATATACAATCAAACATGAGTATTTATACAAAATTACATATATAATCAATATTGTCATTTAAAAATTCTTAAACATTCATCAATAAGTTAATCAATTGACTGCTATTCAAATACTTAACATCTGATCGATAAGTTAATCGATAACTTAGTCAATCGACTATGTACGTGGGTGGCTTCTCGGTGGCCATCCCAACACCTCCCCCGAATAAGATTTCTTTCTAGGATTTATTTGTAGCTTGACAACTGGGTTGCGGTAGTGTCTCATTATTCTTGTCGTCTTCCTTATCCAAGGCTTCCTTTCAGTGTCCTTGGGCATATGTATCGTTGGTACGTCCAAGGTTGACTCTAACGGGAATTTTGGCCGGTTATTTCGAGTCTGCATCGTTCTTTTGTCCTTATGGATTTGATTCGTATGTCGTATACATGTTCCAAAAGTTCCTCGGACTCTGTACAGAACTTTTCCTAACTTTTGTACAATTTTTCCCGGCTCCCATCGGTTCTTTCCGGTGTAGGATTTAATGAAAACTTCGTCGCCGACATTAAAGTTTCGCATATTTGGATTTTGATTGTGCCCGTACACTAATTTCGATGGCAACATGGCGTTGAAAACGGTTCGAATACGCCTTCCAAACATGGCTTCGGCAGGAGACTTACCGTCTGGAACATTTGGGTTCGGAGTGGTTCTGTAGGTTGTCAGAAATTTTGTGATTACCTGTCCAGTTGTCCCTTCGCCTCCCCCTTTCAGTAGTGCTCGTTTAAAGGTGTCCACAAAGCGTTCTGCTTGTCCGTTCGATTGCGGATGATAGGGCGGAGAACGAAGATGAGTTATTCCATTTGCGCTACAGAAATACTTAAACGATTCTGCAATGAATTGCGAGCCATTATCAGTTACTACGATCTCTGGAACTCCGAAGCAGCTAAATAAGGTAGGCAACTTGTGGATTGTTTCTGACGTTGTACAATTTGGCATGGTATATACTTCTGGCCACTTAGTAAATGCGTCTACGATAATTAGAAACATTTTTCCATGGATTGGACCAGCAAAATCTGCATGAAGTCTTACCCAGGGTCCTGCAGGCGTTGGCCAATACTGAGGTTCGCATTTCAAAGGATTTTTAGCAGCTTGAATGCATGATGGACAGTTACGGCATTTATTCTCGATATCTTTGTCCATTGACGGCCAATAAGCATAACTACGAGCCAACGATTTCATTTTATTGATTCCAGGGTGGCCACTGTGGAACTGCTTGAGAACCTTATGACGTAATAACTTCGGAATAACAATTCGATCACCAAACATAATACACGAGTCGACAATCATTAGTGAGTCCCGTCGACGAAAATATTGCAAGAGTTCTCCATCAAGACGATTGTTTGGCCATGTGGTCGTAAGATAGCATTTAACTGTGCTCAATATCTTGTCACTTTCAGTAATCTTCTTGATAATTTCAAAAGTTACTGGAAGTCCATCGATTGCGTCGACCAATACGCGATGAACTTCTTTCTCGGCTTTTATATTTGCTACAACGGTTTCCTCTGGGGTTTTTGATTGGGATCCTATTAATCTTGACAACGCGTCAGCTTGCCCAAAAGCGGTAGTTGACTGATACTTGATCTTGAAGTCGTAACCCAGAAGTGTGGTTGCCCAACGTTGGAGTCGGTTAGCTGTATGAACAGGAATCCCTTTCTTTGACCCGAAAACTGCAAGCAGTGGCTTATGGTCTGTTAATAGGGTAAAATTTCGACCATATAACATCTTGTGGAATTTTTTTACTGCAAAGATAATTGATAGGGCTTCCTTCTCAATTTGACTATAGTTTCTTTCGGTCGTTGTCAAAGATCTGGCAGCGTGTGAGATAGCTTTTTCAGACCCATCAGGCATGATATGCGAAATGCTTGCTCCAATGCCGTAGTTTGAAGAATCTGATGCCACTACAATAGGTAGGGATGGGTCATAGTGGGTCAACGACAGATCCGAGAGTAGCAGTTTCTTGATCTTCTCGAAAGCAGTTTGACAACTTTTAGACCAACACCACTTTGCGTTCTTTGTTAAAAGACTATTTAATGGGGCACGTAAACGATGAAGGTCAGGGATAAAAGCTCCATAATGACTAACTAGCCCCAAAAGGGATCGAAGTGTGGGAACATCTGTCGGTCTCGGCATTGCTTTCAAAGCTTGAGTGTTCTCTGGATCTGGTTTTCTCCCGTCCTTATCAATGATAAAACCGAGGTAGCGTACTCTCTCCATGCAAAAATCACATTTTTCTTCACGAAGCCGGAATCCATATTCAGCTATTCTCGATAGCACCCGGTCGAGCTTCTTTTCTAGGTCTATTCTGTCAATGCTCATAATTATTATGTCATCCAGATAAGCTGCAACACCAGGGAGATCATGTAGCATAGTATCCATCACCTGTTGAAATATGGAGGGGGCCGTTTTGACTCCAAAAGGTAACCGATTATATCGGAATAGGCCCTTGTGAGTGTTTATAGTAAGCAGATCTTTACTTTCATCCGCGACAGGAATCTGCAAGTAAGCTTCTGATAAATCCAGTTTTGCAAACACCTTGCCTCCATTCAGCTTAGCAAAAAGATCCTCAGGTATAGGCAAAGGATACTGGTGGGGTTCTAGCGCATCATTCAGTCCAGTAGAGTAATCTGCGCATAGACGGACACTGCCGTTTGACTTCTTGACCACCACAATCGGTGCAGCCCAATTGGAGAAACTCACAGGTTCAATGACACCCATTTTTTGAAGCCGTTCTAGTTCCTGTTCAACTACTGGGAGAGAAGCATAAGGTACAGGTCTTTTTGGTCGAAAAACAGGAATAGATGTTGACTTGAGAGTCAGTAGTGCTTTGGCTTTCGTGCATTCGCCCAATCCTTCTGAAAACACGTGATGATGCCTTTTTATAATGGCATTTCTCTGACTTGACTCTAAACGGTTATTGATTCTGACTTGGCTGCAGATATTGTTGAGAGGATGATCTGCTAATTTTAATGCATCTATTAGATCCAACCCCAATAAATCGAGTTCCGGGTTCTTGGTTAAATAAACAGTTGCACTAGTTGTTGCCTCATTTTTCGAAACATTGCACGTTATTTCCCCAACAATATTAAGCTTACCTCCAGATGCGCTGTGCGCTAGTTGCTTCGTTCGGTGAACTGTAGGTCTCCCAATTTTCTCCCAAGTTTTTGGACTGATTAGGGTGATATCAGATGCTGTGTCAAGTTGAAGACGGACACGGTGTGCATTCATGTCCACGGTCACGTACTTTCTTCGGCGGTGAATTCTTGTCTGGTTATGAGATACTAATATTTTGTTCGTTTTCTTACCAGATCTGTATTTCTTGGAATAGACTTGTGAAGAGTAACGTCTGCGAGTTTTATTTCTACATCTGGTTTCTTTGTGACCCTTTTTGTGACATTTAGTGCAGAAATATTCTTTGTATGGACAAAACTTCTTGTAATGCCAACCTCCACATGACCAGCAAGGAGATGAGGGCTGATTGTCTGTGCTGTATGGTTTTTGTGAGCCGGAGTCTTTCTTTTCACTAACAGCATGCACGTATGACGGCCGGCTATTGTTCTCGACCATGGAGGTATCATGTTTCAAATTTACTAATCTCTGACACTCTGCAGTTATTTCTTGTAGTGAGATGTTTGGGCACTGATCAATTTTGCTTAAGATTGTGGTTCTTATATCAGCATCTTCGGGAGATTGTAGGCTACACACAAATACGAGGCACTTAAACTGGTCTTCCGTCATTGATGATAGTTTGAATCGTTCACATTCACGGTTTATTAGGCCGGCATGTTTTACCCAATCATCCTCACTTGACTTCGTTATTTTGAGGCATTGATAACGAATATTAAAGAGAGATGATTGTTCAGATTTGCGTCAGAGTTTCGATTGTTGCATCAAAAGAGAAATCTCTTGGATTCTTTGGGAGGATGAAATTACTATAACGTTCATGTTCAATCGTGCCAAGCTTTCTCAAGAGTATTCTGACCTTGGCAGCGTCATCCAGTTTGTTGAGGTCTACCTTGAACAAATCTTCATACTTCTTGAACCAAGACTCGAAAGTCACACCAGCTAGGCCATCAAAGTGAAATTCCTGAATGGAATTAATTATCGAGTCTGTATGCGTATTACATGAATCATCAGTAAAATCTCTGTTATTCAGATTCATTTGTTTCGCTAACATCTCCAACATACGCTCCTGGAACTGTTCATATCGTTTTTCTTGACGTTCCAGCAAAGATTCTATTTGTTTAAAGGTAATTGGCATTGTTGATTGTAAAACCCGTCGCCACTGTTAAGTTCTCTACTCGAATACGCACGAAAAGACTCTATAACGGATGACACTCAAACGTTATAACCTCCAATCGCTCTCAAGTAAGAAGACGAAAGACGTTTGTGAGCACTTATTGACAAGAATCAAAATATACAATCAAACATGAGTATTTATACAAAATTACATATATAATCAATATTGTCATTTAAAAATTCTTAAACATTCATCAATAAGTTAATCAATTGACTGCTATTCAAATACTTAACATCTGATCGATAAGTTAATCGATAACTTAGTCAATCGACTATGTACGTGGGTGGCTTCTCGGTGGCCATCCCAACAATAATGTTTGTGGGACCAATGTGACTGTTATTTTATAAGCAGAATAAAGATACATAGTTTGATATTTTCAGGCCAGACATTAAAAAAATGCACTATAACCTACAAGCTCCAACGGATTATAGTTTTTGTCTTCGTCTCAAGTAACATTAGATGTGAGTTCTCTACAATAACTATTTTATAACGCCAAATTTGAACTATAGGGACATCATATAAAGTGTGTGTTGTAGATATTTACTTTAAAACAGTACGACATTTTAAAAGTTCACTTACAGAAAGATTATTTGAAATAATTGGGTTTACGTTTCCAAGTGTTTGTTTCAGCATTTGGTATGATCGAATATGTTGAGGATTTAATAATACATCAGAGCCAATATTTGATTGATTCATACTTGGATTATTTATTCCGAGTAGGGTAAGAGGATTTAGACCAGGACTGTTGGTACCAATATTATTAGTAGGATAATTAACATTATTGTTACTATTATTACTATTACTACTGTTGAACATGGTTGTCTGTGATTGTTGTGGCTGTGTTTGAAGTGGGAGATTTGAAACGGCATTCTCTAATGGAAATGAACTAAAATTCAATGAATAAAGTTAATTGCATTTTAAGAAACGTCTCTCCAGGTATCGATAAATTTCCACTTTAATATAAATATCTCATGTAAGTTTAAACTACAAGACGTGTATGCTACTTATATTAACAGATAAGTAATATGTAATATCAGTCAGAAGTGGGGTGTATGGCAACAGAAGGCGAACAACATCGAGTTAAAGAAAACAGAAAGGGAAATAGAAAAGAATTGTGAATTGGAAAAGTTCATACTGAATGTGAAGGATAATGATTGAAGATTGGCTAATAGAAGTATTTAACGCATGGTTCTCGTATTTCACGAAGATATTCTCTAATTTAATAGGAAATGATAAATCAAATAGTTGAATTCATGGGTCAATCAAAGCTAAACTACCATAGAAAACCTGAGAGCACCGGACGGCCGTTCCGTCCTAGTATGGGACTCCTCAGCAGCACGCATCCACAACCCCTCACGTGGGACACGAGCCAAGAACCTTCGGTCTCGCGCGCGAGTGCTTAACGTCTGAACTACTCAGTCGGCATTCAATTCACCAGGCAATCTAAGCTAGACCACCATTGGAAACCCGGAAGTACTTGACGACCGTTTCGTGGATGTGCACTGCTGAGTCCACTAATAGAACAAAACTGTCATCCAGTGTTTCCAGGTTTTCAATGGTGATCTAGATTAGAGTGACTCGTGAATTCAACTTTGTTTATATAAGATGTTTTCATTAACAGAAAAAAATTATTTTAAATACTCAACTGAAATTTAAAATATATATCTCTCATATGTATTAGGGATATAAACTGAAAACCGTAAATTATGAAAATTCAACAGTCACGAAAAGATAATATACTTTATTATTATACATTAAAACAATAAATGGGATTTCATAACTATGGATGAGTATATGTGTGGTGTATGCTACCAATGTTGACAGATATAAGTAGTATGTAACACCAAACAGAAGTAAAATGCCAGTCAAAAGAGGATCGAAAAGGTTGAACTAAAGAAAACTGAAAGGAAAATAGAAAGAAATTGGAATAGAAACAGAATTAGGAGAATTATGAGGAATGTAAAAGACAACTGACAGAAGATGCGCAAATCAAGTATTTGATTTATGGTTTTCATAATTTAAGAATACATTGTAATTTTGCGCCAAACAAGCCAACAAGCTGAAGTTTGTAAGATAAAGTTTGCATCTATGAACTAATCTGTAACCCATTCGGAGGTAACTTTGACAAGAATGACTATTGATTTGCTAGTTCAGTTTACTCTTACGCTTCAAGACAACTGTAGATTACTCATTACCAATGGAGGTATTAATCCATAACTAAATGAGTTAGTGAAGACGTTTCGAATGCAGTTAACGCAAAAACAATTTAATAGTGTTAAGTATGGGAATTTTATCACTTTGTTTGCACTATTTTTACAAGCTCTTAAAAATAAACAATAGAAGATAAGCGTTGAAATTATGTTTTTGTGCTTATGAAGACTCAGTGGTTCCATTTTTCAATTAAGTGTAAAGTCAGATCATAGTTATAAATGTTACAACTGAGGTACACAGGTCAAGAATGATATCTTGGATAATCGGCTGATCTGTAAAATTAATAACAACCCATGTTATCCTTTCGTTCATGAAATTTAACCATCAATCAACTAGGAAAGATATAGGAAAATGATCCTACACAAATTATTTATTTATTCTGGTTAGCGTTTTTTTAGCAAGGTTGTCTTCTACGGGATGGAGATGCCGGTCCCACGTCCAACCCTCTTTCTTTACCAGTGCTTGAGATTGATAGTAGACCTAGAAGAGCTACAGCAAGGGCAGCATTCCTATAGTTTAGGAATCTATGGGACTCAAAACAACTGTCAATCGATATCGAAGTCAAAATTTTCAAAACAGACGTCAAGACAGTTCTACTGCACGGATACGAAACTTCGAGAACTACTACGAAAATGTACAAGTATTTATAAACAATTATTTACACAAGATACCGAATGTCTGTTGGTCGAATGCCATCAGCAACAGCCTACTCTGGTAAAAACAAACCAGCTACCAGCTGAGGAGGAAATTAGGAAAAGATTGGAGGTGGATAGGACATAGATTGAGGAAATCATCAAACTGTGTCACGAGGCAAGTGTTAACTTGGAATCGTGAAGTAAACGTAAAAGAGGAAGGCCAAAGAACACACTGCAACGAGAATTGGAAGCAGATATCAAAAGGATGAATAGCAATTGGAAAGGATTATCCAGGACAGAGTTGAATGGAGAATGCTGATGGGCGGCCATTCACGAGGGATAACAGGCGTAAGTACGTAATATCCTACACAAATACTGTAATGTATCTAGTTGTTATTTAATGTCATTCTAATATTACAAACGAATTCAGCATAACTTTCATAAATTCAGATGTATAAAACAAACCATATTTTTACCAATCACAATTCATTTTCATCTACATAAACCATATTTAAAGTGTTCACTTTATTCCATAAAGATAATTGTAACTGGTTTCTTACGATAATAAATAACTCAGTGTATATAAAACAAAACCATTATATAGCCTATCAGAAGTATTTAACCTTTAGCTAGTCAATCCCTCTAATGGTAAACATTTAAAATAGGTAGGGAAACATCAATTAAAACAAAATTCGTCCACCTAATTATTAAAACGTTTTATTTAACTATATACATACATAAACTTACAGGCTATTTAAAGATTGTTTAATAAGTTGATTAGGAGTATTGAGATTTTGAAGCATAAGTGCAGCAAGTATAGCTTGAGTATTTTGACCGTTAGTACCATTCAATTGATTGTGTTGTTGTAAAGCAACAGCTGTAGCAGCTGCTGCTAAATTCTGTTGTTGATGTTGAGCTTTAAGAAGATTAACTAGAGCTGCAGATGATGATGATGATGATGATGATAGTGATGACAACGATGGAATAGATGTCGATATTACTGTAGATATTGTAGATGATGTTAACGGTGATAATGATGACTTATTCTGACTCAAAATTAAATTGTTTCCTGATAAATTACTAGAATGTAAACTTGGTAAATGACATAGTCCATTTAAAGTATGATTAGTGACAATTCCTGAACCTGACATTGCAGCTACAGCAGCAGCAGCTGAAATTGCTGCAGCAACAACACCATTACTAGTTCCTACAGATGTCCCATTAATCCGTGGTCTGGAAGCCAAAGTATTAGTGTAATTATTCAATCCAATATTTTGGTTGTTAAAGTTAGAAGCTGAAAAGTTTTCATTTGAAAAAAACTTAAAATTTTATATTGAATAGAAATATTTAAGTAAAATCAAAAAGACAAGTAATCAAGAACATGATCCGAATCTTTTCAAACAATTTCTTTGTTTGGTATCCTCATATTCTTCCTTCACTAGAATAGGTAGGAAAATTCAATACTGACATATTACCTTACAAACTTAATATCACATGGGCTACAGTATTTTGAGGGAACAAATGGCATATGAACCAATCGTTGGTCACCGACTACCATGAGACTTACGATGCTCCACTGTCTTGTGGATCAGACTTTTAGGTCGAAGGCTCCGGCTATGACCCTCTAAGAAAACCACCTGCTTCGGTTTGGGCACCCGGGCAGTATCACAGCCCTCACACATATCCAAATGAGATCTGTGTGGCGCATATTTATTTGGTGCCTCTTTGTACCAATATCGATGTGTTCAAATAAAATAAATACACGATCAGAAAAGTTTGGATAATTATTGACACCAACCGAATCGCAACCTGAAAAAAAGTTTAAACAACCGGTTTCAATGAATAACAATGGACACTTGAAGATACTCACAGAATTTCATACCTCTCTTTATACTAAATCTAGTCATGTATTATATCTGTGGTAGTTATAATACAATATAAGATGACCGATATGAATGGTCAAAATATGACATCAAAACGAGATAGTTCGAAAGAAATTACTACGGTAGATCACATTTATTTTCAAAAAAAAAGGTGGTGAAGATGGGTTTAGTCGGATACAATTTATACAAAAATCCATCAAGAAATAACTTCAATGAAAGAAATATACTGTTCAAAAAGTCACGTTATTGACCTATTAAATATGTATATATATATATATATATATATATACAATCCTCTAAAGTTGACTTTCAATAGGTAATAGTGGGAATATCGTGTATTGAACATTGAGTGACCTCATTTAAGTGACTAGAAAAAATGTATGTATATCCAATTTAACGGACATTCGTATACTGCATTAAAATTATATACCATTCAATATGGATAATACTAAACAAATGTTCCGTATTTTTGTCAAGTTTAGTTAAATACCAACTCACTAGAGTGGTAAGCAAATGTTCAATAGGTCTAATTTGATTGGATATATATCCAACTTTTTTTCGCACGAATGTGAAGGACATTTTGATATAAACTAGTATCAGCTGAACAATCGTAGAAACCATGGAGTACTGAGCAGTTATTTACCTCATTTTTGTACTTTTAAAGTGAACATCCACGACATGAGTCTATCCTTAGATCACTAGGCTGCCTACAATCCTCAGTTGATTAGCAATTATAGCAAGACGATCAGCATAAACTTTCACTAATCCAAAGTTATAACAAATGAAACCAGCTAATTAAAAAGCATACATTCATCAGACTAAATATTAACTAGGTAAAACGGAAATCACTAATATAAATAGTTATTAAACGTTGTAAGATTACACTGAACATGATAACTATAATATCACCGGAGCGTACTGCTCATGAACGTCTTTAGATTGAAAAACAAAACTACCACTAGGTTTTAACATATGTCTCACAAATCAGTACCAATGAAGTATTAGAGAAAAAAATTAATAAGTTCATCACTATCTATTAAATTACCTTTATTTCCTCCAGTTGAGATTGCATTATCAGTACGCTTCTTTGTAAGAACTCGTGTAGTTGCATGATTTACCTAAAAGTTTTGTGCAAACATTAATTCGCCATTATTTTAAAGGTTTTTAAGAAAGACACATAACCGTAAACATATTTCATTATCAGAAATGAATTTCATACGTTTGTCGATAGCACAAACAAGAACTAATAGCAAGGAATAATCATTATTATTATTATTATTATTATTATTATTATTATTATTATTATTATTATTATTATTATTATTATTATTATTATGAACAATTAGACAGTAATAGTAGATCTACTGAATAGTAAAAGTAGTAGTATCATAAATAATTCACAAAATTCCGATGCATGCTTTTTATTCAACCAGGAATGAGAAAAGAACGGAAAGGAAGATCACTCTGAGGAAGAAGTAAAAACTCAACATTTAAAGGGGATTAAATTATCAAAATTTAATATTTGTAATGGACAAGGATTTTTTTATACATGTAAATTGACAAAAAATATTGACCCTTTTAAGTGAATAACAGTCAGTGTTGCTTGTTTATTCCCATTTGCACCGTTCTTCTAATTTATGCTAACATTATTCATCTGATGAGAAAGTAATATATATCTAGCTAACAATTGGCTAGTCTGTTTACTTTATTAATTAGTCTAATGAATAACATTGAATATCAGGAAGCATCAAACAGTTGGTTTATTGTAGTTTGAAAATTCACATTAATGTACAATATGTACTGATCATGAATTTTATGTTGCTTAGATACAATTTAACTCAAGTCAACCAATGTAGCTGTTCAATAATAGCTTCCTTTGGCTATTATACGTTTTACGTGATTGACACTAGATATTACGATTGATTATTTTCTGTGTTTTCTCTTAACTGGTTGTTTAAGATCACTCATTGCACTGAATATGCTTTACTATATTTTTCAAGATCATTTGAACAATACAGAATCAATAGTCTTTTTCGCACTATTGTTTTTTTCTCAAGATACTAGAAGCTCCTTTACAAAGACTTTCCTGGTTTCTTGCTCTGTACATGAGTATCAGAGAAGTGGTCTATTACTCTCTACCCAGCAACCAATAATGACCTTGAGGTCAAGAATTCGTCTGTATCATATTCACTACAGACTAAAGCACAGTTTTGGAAATTCAACAACAAAAGATGTGAGCCGCTACCGAGTGTTTATTACCTAATGATTAACCAATTGATATCAGTTTGTAAAAAGACAAATAAACATCAAGTTGATCAGATTTGGACGATCTTCATCTGAAAGTTAGTAAAATATTTATTATAACAATACTCAGTGGATAAGATGGAATCAATTTATTATAGTATAGCCAGTACGATAAAAATATCCTGTTTCTACATACAGTATAATCAAGATTTACCACTTTATTATTGTAATTGTCACGAAAATCGTAATCACTTACAGGAGAAAAAAACAATGAAACAGTTTAGCTGACATCACATAGCTATGTAGTTGGATAGTAATTGCAAAATAATTGTTTCGTTCAGTTAGACTCAACAAAAGGAAATTTGAAAGTCCCTCAAAAAAATCAGTGATCACATTGAAATTGAAATAATAAACCCGTACATGCTTTTAGTAAAATATTTTCATTAAAATAATACAAACACATGAGAAAAACACAAAATTATTTAGAATGAGATGGTATTTCGTCAAAAAAACTCCTTGGCAACACTGATTACCCACACTTTCTCAGTTTACACTAATTACTTATTTTTAATTGTAAGCAATATTATCCTGTCTAGTTATAAGTACTGTTTGATTTCTACTAGTCAAATTACAAATGTGACCATATTAGTTTAAATGAAACAAGTGTGAATTCTACAAGAAAGAACATCTGTCCCCTTTAGATTACAGATACACTTTAATGACATACAGACTGTAGCTTAGATTGTATGATTTCCTCCATATAAAAAACATTCAGAATTGTTCAGTAAAATATACTGTGATCATAGTTGTGTAAATATCATTCCATTCATGCAAATTTAATGATAACTAATACAACTAAACAGATTTGACATGATCTGTGAATGCATTTATTTTAAATAACATTTTTCTATAATGAAAATATCTCATTTAAATAAGTAACAGATATAAAATTAAATTTTGTAACCGTTTTACTGTCCCTAAAACTCTCCTTAAAGGATTAAATAATGATTGTAACAAATACACACACAGCCGGTACTATTATTCTACTACAGTTACAAATACAACCAAAATAGAAAACTGCTGATAATCATAAATTTTGTTAAAGGAATCATTTAAGAATGGAAAATAAAATGAAACTTAATTTGAAATAGAAAATAAAATCACTTTCGATTATCATGCTTCAAAGCTCATATTATATCAGAGATTAAATTAGCGAGTAGAGTATGTCTAAGGCATCTTCCTATCATGAAAATCTTATTTTTACTGATGATCAAACTTTTATGTCCGGTATATCAGTAAAGATAATTCTTTAACCTATATCCATTGAATCTTAAAATCTCAATATAATACAGAAGACAATGAGGAAAGTCACAAGTTTCTTTATATCTACATTTCATAGAGTGCATCAAATAAGTATACTAAAAATCATGACTCAAAACAGATTATAAGTCTCAAACGGAATACCTATATTACATAACTCTTTGATATATTTAAAATTAACCGACTGTTTATTATCGGATGGTAAAAAGATATACCAATAATTATTCAGTCATAACGTGTATCATCAGGAAATAGCAAAAGAATAAATTAACCAAAATAAACATACGCCACGCAATAAGAAAATGAGATTGTGAAGAGATGGAGCAAAAAGGGTGAGTATAATTAAAAACAATAAATGAATATAAATAAGTGAACGAAAGAAACAGCTCAGCTAGGAAGAATTTTGACTAGAGTTCCTCTCATTCTTTTTTTAAAAAAAGTAAAAGAAAATTGTGGGAAGATCGGTATTGGCTTTCACTCTGAGTTTAGTCTGATATTTCAAGTCACTGAACTTCCACATTTCTCGAACCATAACCAAAAAGAGGTGAAGAAAAGATAAATCTCATTCTTGTATAGCTTTCTTTTATACATCGTCACTACATCATAAAATAACCACCTATACACTTTCTCCAACAAGTACCAGACGAATATGGTACAATGTGGAAATCATAACACATGTTCAAGCCACCAAAGTCAGAGTTTCAAGATATTTACATTAATTTAATTGTCGTTACTGTACGCAAAGAAACTTTTAGATTTTCAACATGCTGTTGCCTCTGAATACTAGCAATCCTTTGAAGACAACGATGATTCGAACACAGATTTGCCTAACATATTCAACAGATGGTCGATTAATCACATATCGAACATTTTGGACTATTGAAAGATGAAATAAAATTTTTTCTACTTTAGATTATAGGTCAAGCAGCTGTATGGTCAGAATAATTCTACTGAATAGTTTACCTAGTGGTAAGATCAGTCAGCGTAGATCATTCAGCTATTTTTCTATTGTGGTCTTACATCGATCACAAAGTATGTATAAATAGTTTTACTTTGCACAAACAGATAAGTACTCATTGGGATATTAGATATTATGGGAAAGTAATCATCAATTGCTGCCCATTTGGAGCAATTATTTATTAATAAGTATCATAACAACTTCGACTGATAAAATAAATAATTTGCAACCGGATCTTTTTAGCTAAAAAAAATTGTTATTACCTGTCTGCCAAAAGAGAAGTAACAGGTGAGTAGGATTCAAACAAGAAAAACTATGATTGAAATTTCGCAGAATAGTGCATACCAAATTAATATACCTTATATATGCAGGTTTTTATACAACGCATGCGCTCCTAATAAGGTTATTATTTTGAAAGCAGATAAGAAATCAAAGACGAAGTATGAATGTAGTATTTAAGAACAAAGGAACTAGTTGATGAATTTCCAAGTTGGCATGCTCACACGAATATAATAACTTAACATTAGTTTTATCCTAAAATCTGAAGCGGTCAACTACAACAAATCAACTTACCCACTATGATTTCATATGTAAAACAAAACTCTTCATCGGTTAAAACTGCCGAAACATTAAGTTGTTCAAACGCATACAATAGAAATAAAACCAGGTAGCTGAACAAAAGATTACTTATATTTGCGATATAAGAATGAATAAGTATGGGCATATATGAATATTATCAAGCCAGATACATTAAGTGCACTCGAATAGAATGTGCTTCTTACAGGATACATATAGGCATACAAAAAAGAACTGTGAAGACAAATGAACAGATTATTCTTTCAATTATTGATGACAAGGAATGAACAGGCTGAGTAGTTGTAGTATTTGTTTTAGACTGACGATTAGTGAGCAAGCGAACAAGCAAAATATATTACTAATCAGTAATGTAGTGAGTGAAACAGAAAGATTCGAGTATATTAAATGTGTCAATATCAGTGTATGTGGAAGGGATTAAGGTAAGGCGCATGGACAAGGCGAAACACATACAATGCCTATGCAGCATTTCATGCAGACAACCGAAACAAATAGGAAAACACACCAAAAAAAACAGAAAATATATTTAAAGTATGTGAAAATAAAAAGGAACCTCCCAAACTATGCTCAGTTATCAAGTAGACATGCGAGAAGAATGGAACAGGCTCATTATATTTTGTACATTCAACATAATTTTTTACTTTGAATCAGTTTGTGGATGATTCATACTAGGAAGCTACTGAAGAAATTAAATTTCAAGCAAGGTTTAAGTCAGGTTTCTATGAAACAAGCAAATTACTATCAAGTGATTATAAATTATGTCATTATGTAATACATAAGTTGTTGAACTTCTGACAAAAGATTGATTTTTTCCATTAATAGATTTCATTGTCTTCCATTTCAAGGAAAGAATAACATTAGAACTATTAAAGCAATATATTAAATTGTAGCGCATGCGATCGAAACGAGTAAAAAGAGAGAACAATTTCAACAGTTTAATGAGAACATCATTTCATGATTTTATCAGAATTATTGTGTTAAACAAATGATTACCTAAACTAACACATAAAATAAGACAAGTCATTCAGAAATGCAGTTGTCAGTCATACATATCCAGACAAACATGCAGAATCTCAAAGGACATATAAATCACCTTCAGGCCTAAAGTGCACAGCAAAGTACTTTTTTGTGATACGACTGTGTTATTATGTTAACATGCCAGATATAATAACATGATTGTAATTAGGCATGTGTCCCTGAAAAACCATGAAAAAGATAAACCATTTGGAATTGATAATGTGAACATGTTATTAAATACAGAAAATGACAATATTAACATAATTATTACAACTGATAACTCAATATTATGAAAAAAATTATGCCAAAGATTCTCGTCCTAGAAATCGCTTCATTATGAAGGAGTAAATATCAAGTCATTCATGATTGAAAAGGATTAATGTTTGATTCAGACTTAAAAGAAAACAAGGAATTGATATGCGTACTTCTAACACTGACTAGTATAAATGTTGGAGTGATCCAGAAAACTTCCCGCAAAAGACGAGAAAAGTTCAAGAAACACTAAGAAGTAATTTATCTAATCAGCGTTCACTTGAAGTTTAGCCAGAAACATCAAGAAAGTGAAAAGTCACACGTAGAATTTCTGATTGGCTGATTACCATACTGCTACTATGTTTAGTAGCTTTCCAAAATTTTCGGGGAACCCAAGGACATCTAAAATACTATAAAAACACTATATTTTCTGTACTAAAACGAACGTTTGGAGTAAAGTGCTTCTCGGATATTTTGCGCATTTTCTCTCGTGTTCGGGTCGCTGTGTAGTCCTAGCTTGGGGGTTACGAGAATAGCTTAGAAACCGAATATAGCGTTCAATTAGCAATACTTATCAATAAACGAGAAAATCTCCGAGATATATTGATACCTAGCAACTGATAAACTAGTTTAGACATATATAGGGCCATCCCAACTATAATTCAAAAAAAAATCCTTATAAGATTTCTATGGTCTAACTATATTACTTATCAGTAACTAGGATTTCATTGCATGATTGTTTTCTGGTATTTTATCGGTTGACTATGGATTAAATACAAATACATGAAGGAATAAATTAACTTCAAATTCTACACCTACAAAACCGAATTAATGACTAAGAAAATGCTCAGATATAATGGTAAGCGTACCATTTGAGATCATAGCATATGAACTCAAAAATGTTTGTAAAATAAAACAAAATTATCAGAAGGGGTTTTGTGTAGTTCCATACTAGGACGAAACGGCCGTCCAGTGCTTCCAGGTTTTCCATGGTGGTCTAGCTTCAATTGACTCATGATTTCAACTGGTAAAAGAAAATTGTTAATTAGGGAGGATTTGTAGAGATTGTACAGTTTTCTTCAATGGTGATCAAGTTAAGATCAGTTCATGATTTAAACTCTGAATTTTGCTAACGTTGAAATGACTAATAGATTATTATCCTAATGTTTGAATACGTTTGTACGTGAATTGAAATAGTGAAACTAATAATCAGAATAAATATAGATAAAGTGAGAGAAATATTCATTTAATTACAATCAGGTCATATATTCAGTCCACGATTTTGTACAGTATAAAATATTATGAATTAGATAAGGGAAATCATGGATTCATGCTATAATTTTAAAACTCTTGTCAGTACTATATATATATATATATATATATATATATATATATATATATATATATATATATATATATATATATGCATCAGTTCCGAAAACCTGAGATAGCCTTCTGCATGTAATTGACCTTGGCAAATACAACTATCCTCGTATAATACTAATATATGAATAAATTGGATGAAAGGACTTCAACATAGTTGATCAAGTGTAAATCGAAATTTAACTTGAATTTAGAAAAAATAGACTGGAAACTGATGAGATACTATTTTCATTTAACATAACATTTGTATTGTAGTGATAAGGAGAAAGTTTAGTTTTGAAATAACTCTATTAGAAAACTAGGATGGTTATGTAATTAACTAGATGAAAGATTTATTAGTACAAATTACTTAATTGTTGAGACTCAAAGTTATATTATGTTACAATTACTAAGTGATAGAATGCGATTAATAGAGAAAAGTTGAAATTTTATCTTACCAAGAATATAGTATGAGAAAAATCATATGAAATCATGTTTATAAGATGTATTCTACATTTACAGTTTAAGCTCACTTAACAAAGTAGATTTAACTTCTCGATAAAGGAGTTTAGAAAAATACAAATAGATAAATTTCAAAGGTATGCAGTTTTTGAAGTTGGATAGAATTCAGAAACATTTCTTAGAATCTAGTAAATGAGTAAAGTTGACTATATGCTAAAAACCGTATTAAATGTCTTACTTATCTAGATAGTTGCATCACTCGTGACATCTTTAAAAGTTTGTTGATGAAACTAGATGACATCACGTGCTGGAAACTATGTCTTATAGGGCTAATTTGCATATGCTTCAATAGGAAACATAGAGTAAAAGTAGGCTACAGAAAGTTTTATGGGTACCCAAACTAAGACAGGGGACAAAATCGATTTTTATAATGAACCTTACATTAACTGTTTATGGTCCATGGAAAAAACATAAGTCTGTAACAGATATTAAACGACATAACTAGGAACCAGTTTGTCATATTATTTTATTCATATTATTCTTGAAATGACTAGTTGTATATTAAGACAAAGCGACTCATCATAGGAAATCAAAATATATGTGAAAGAATTAAACATGACTAAGTAGAAATGTACAACTTCCACTGAAAATGCCCAACAATTTATGAAATATTTCAGATATTCTACCATTATTATTACTACTAGTGTTATTATTACCATTAATTTGTCAAGACAGTTAGATAATACACAGATGAAAATAGTTAGCTAACCCTTTAGGCGTATTTCGTATGATTTGCTTTCGTCGAATCATCTACCCATATACTTTATTGTTACACTATTTTTCACTCAGTTATACCAATTTTATTTTTGATATTTTCATGCCCGTACATAAACTGAATTATCAGGTCCTAATTTTCTCTTCACCAATTAACAAACAACTAACTTCATAAATCCCGATTCTCCTATCATTTATACATTTAGATGGATGTAATCATAATCTGGTGTCGCTGAAATCAGTGTGTGAAATGAGGATGTCTCCATGATAATCCTTACATTTAAAAGTCATATGAAGCTTCCTGTCTTCTTTATAGCCGTCTTTTAAATGTCCAGAAAGTTAACATCTCAGAGACATTTGACGAACACTTCAATTCATGCGGTTTGATAAAAACTCGAAGAAATCACCAGTAGGGCATTTTTACATCCTGAAACACCACTTAATTAATATTTATTCCAATGCATTAATCGAACTTCATTGAAGTTTAAACAATCAGCATAGAATGAAAATGGAAGAGAATAAGTGAAGAGGAACCTTATCCGAAAAAGAGTATGTAAATATGTTTTATATTTTAATAGAACATGGAGGTGTCTTTATTCACAACAAGCTACATTAAGAAGTTCACGATTCTTCTGAGAAAAATACTGCTGAATATTCATCTCAAGATTTGATAATAACCAAACAGTTACTAGATTTAGTTGCATATTATGAAACTAATCATTCTTTACTTCCAACCCAGTTCACAATATCTGACTATAAATAAACTATCAGATTTGGTCCTAAATAGAGTAGTATGGTTTGCAGTGAAATAGATCTTTAAATTTACCACTGAAAATAAAAACTTTTAATATACATGTTAAGACTTTACCTATCTTGTATGTCTATACGTATACTGGTCTTTCTCATAGTAAGGTGACACGCCACTAAGGTAAGATCTCACCGAATGTACAAAAACTACTTATGCTTTCAAACTACTGCTAAGTAGTATATGTTTAAAACGGAACATTATAGTTAGAAACCAACCAATGTGCCAGTCAGCCAGAACAGAGAACCTCTCAAAGAACAAACTACAACCATTAACCATAACTCTACTTTACGATTCAGTCTTCACGTCCCGATTAGTGAAGTATGACTGCCCTGATGAAAGCCCACCGAGGTTAACTTCAATTTAAAAGTCACCAATTTTTCCCCAGTTCACTGGGCCTCAATTTTACGTCATAAAAAAGAAATGCTCCAAAAAAACGATAAGGAGTAAGAAACATGCTGCAACCGGTAAAAACTCTTTACCTCTATTTTCCGACCCATTACGACATGACCATTAAGATTTTCGCGTGCTTTCTCTGCATCAGCTGCATTCATGAATGTAACAAACCCAAAACCCTTAAAGTAAAAAGTATTGAAATAATAATTATATGATATACGAAACCAAAAAAACCATAAATATTATCGTTAGAATGAGGTTATTTTGTGAAGATTATTTTCATTCGGGAAAACCAGACGAAACAATTTTCCTGCTCTCCCTGGTTTGAATAAAAACTGAGAAAGGATGAATGAGTGATGAATACCATCTGCAAATATCGTTATCAAAATCTGGGTGGTTCAGTTAAGGTTCTTTCTTAACATCTCACTTTGGACCTGAACTATGAACCCATCCATTTTGATGACATTTTTTTATCTCCATGGTTTATCCATGAAGGCTTTTATATCTTTCGGAACAAATCCAGTATAAATTCAAGAAGGAATATTTCCACAGGTGTCTAGCACACTACCCTGTCAAGATAAGAAATGATTGGGCGACACTAGTGTTATGATTTTAATGTCCGGCTTTCGATCACGTGACTTATCCACCAATCAGAATACGACTTATACAAATCTTCGCACTATGACAAGACCAATGACATTCAACCAGTCTGAGCGGTCTAGTGTCCTTATTGGGTCCTATGTCCTTCCAACCCGTCCTCTTGAGTCCAGAACACAATGCCAGCTTCCGTAATATGAATCGAATCGGACCGAATCATTTATTTCAGACATACTCGGTTTATATATCAATCAGACAGACCACAACGTACCATAAAATAGAAAATAACATGTGTACACAAATAAGCCAAAAAGTGACTGTGAACGCGGGAGACAATAATTAATAAACTGAGCATAATTTAGGGACAGTAAATCGTACAGTGATAAATTATAGGTCAAAGTGAAGCTTATAATAAGAGAAATATAAATATACATAATCTAACTATTTAGTGGTTATACCGTAAGAATATATAGATAATATTAGTCAATTAATGTCTCAGAAGATACTCGTGATTTAATCTTCGCTCAATTATAACAACCAGTAATTGCGGTGTCACCGTCGAGACACATATTTGGATAATGTCTCTCCCTGAATTTGGAGCTGGTTATTATTCTCCTTATTAGCTGGTAGATCAACTATATCTCAATATGTTTACTGAATATTAAATGGCATAAATGCTAAGGTACTGAATGATTCAGAATTCTATGTATTATTCTGGTGATCCGAACTTAGAAATTCGAATCAGCTGCCTGAGATTGTCCGCATCCATTAACGTGAGCGAATTTCCTATATTAAATCTATCCATGCGAATGTCAATCAGTTATCAAATTCTAGAATACCGCTACATTTTGCAGGATATATATATATATATATATATATATATTACTTGAAGGGGTTTTGTGGAGAATTGGTAATTTCAATAGTTGAAATCATGAATCAATTGAAGCTAGACCACCATGGAAAACCTGGAAGCACTAAACGGCCGTATATATATATATATATATATATATATATATATATATATATATATATATATATATATATATATATATATATATATATATATATATATGAATTAGCTGATCACAAAGACGTTAGAAACAAAACTACTATACAAACGTCTACGTAAATTTCCACCTCAATGGATAAAAGGAAAACTGATTTCAGGTTAGTCTATGACAGATTCATTACAAACTATATAAAACAAATAATCACTGAAAATAGAAAAAAAAGTAAGACAATTCTATTTTCCTTAATGATGTCTCCCCCAGCAGTACGTATCTCATAATCTAAAGTTTGCTGATCAACCGGCAAACCAATGAGAATAACTGCGATGGGTGATATTTAAAAGTATCGATAGGTAATAGATATAGATGGATGAGAAGGCTGCACTTACCTTAGAACCCCTTTCATTGAAAATTATTTCAACATCCAATATCGGACCGAAAGGCTTTATAATAAGAAAAAAAGTTTATTAACATGATGTCATATGACAATGTAGAATTAGTTTCGGTGAATATTTCATTCGTGCACTAGACACAAATGATAATAAACACTATAATTACTTGATTTAACATTAATTGTATACTAAACTGTCCTAAATAGAATGTGAGTTAAAAAACAACGGAATATGATCTTCAGTATAACAACTAACTCATTTTATATAACATTACCCTGTGAAGTATGTATCTCAAGATTGAATTAAAAGAAGCGAAAAACATTTAAATCTTTTAACATTGCACTTCCTGTCTCAAAATTTTTATCTTGGTTACTATAAAGTTGGGTCTCAGCAACCTGAGTCCATGGCTATCTAAGGTAGCTTCCGCACAAATACGAAAGTCGTATCTTTGACAAATTAGTGCATAAATCTATATTCAGTCTCCGAGATGTATTGTGTTCTGAATACTGACTTGACCTACAAACTATTTAAAATCAAGTAAACATAACGATTTACATAATATCACCGCCATCATCATAAAAGTCTCCAGTTGTAGTTCGGAATAAATTAGAAATAAAACCAGTGCTATCTGTTACGGTGTTATAATGGGGTAAGTATTAAACAAAATTGAACCTTCGAAAATATCCCACATGACTGGAGCCATTATTTATACTTTTGTCTTATAATTATCAAGTGCTGGAATTACAGTACCTCTGGAGATGCCAGATCCGCAGAGCTCATTTAGTAAATGTCTTATTTTTGTAATTTTATTTTGGAAATTTGTATTTCTTGTTATCGGGCCAAAAGTGAACATTTTCACCTTCATACCATATTTCCCACTTGGGAGGACCTCAAATGTCATTGGTTCGTTGTTTCTTTCAATATGCTATTTTGTAACGTTTCCTAAGAATATTTTTATGCTTTATATATACGCTTGAGTTGTGCTTGTTGTTGTCCGTGCTTCTGGCTGCTTGAGGGATAAATTTTCCCTCTTCTGAACCTGGACTTCTCTCTCTAGTTAGCGGGACTGGGATGCATCAGAATAGTTAGCTTATTTGTTCGTTGCGTCGCTGAGTCGTCGTTCCGTTCGCAGACTTAGGTGAACTCGTAATCTCTTCAAACATACCACCTACCAGTACAATTCTTGTGATGTTGTTATGATTTGTACCCGCTTAAGTTACGGTTAATTTATTATGAACCTATTAATCAGTCCTCTCAAACTTATGAAATAGTTGTGCCAATATCGTATTTTTGTAATTATGTCGGTGTGTAGTCAAGATTTTACTTCATAATAAAGTAAGTCACAAGAATAACAACTGAAAACACAACTTTATTTTGTTCCGAATATTCCACCAGTCAACTTCAATTTATCCTATTATAAAGTAGCCAACATATCTTTCTGTTTGTTTTAATTACATTCTATTTCATAACTATTTTTTGATTATTGTTGAGTTCCCCGATCTGAATCTAAATTACTAAGTAGGTATCTAAACCTCAAATGATCAAAGTTCAATTATGATTAAACTTCACTTTTTAAATGAGTTATTATTTTTAATACCATACGTTATTAGACATAAATCACTATCTCGCAACTTTCCACAAGGTTCTATACTGAGACAAAATAACATATCAATCTGATTAGACTTACACCTAATAAAGACCGTAAATCAGCTTCTCGAAACCGAAAAGGGATATTCGAAACATGAAGTCTACGTGTACTAGTTCTAGGTGTAGTATTCACCGATGTCTTTTCTGACGTTTGTTGTTGCTGCCTTAGTTGATGCACAGAAACACTGGGAGAAGATCCATAATTATTTTGTAAGTTTGTACCAATTGGTTTGATATTATTAATTGAACTGATTGTGTTAGATACTACAGCTTTAGCTGTTGTATTCAAGATTGAAGAGGTGGATGTAACAGTCGGTTCAGATATAGTGTTCTGAATTGTTTCAGGCAATTTCATTTCACTATTCTGCTGAACACTAGATACCTATAAACAATGAGATAAAATTAAACAGGTTCAACAAACAACAGAAATCTAATTATCTTAAAATGATTCTGATTAGTGAGAGATCTAAAGTCGGTAAGAAGCTACATATTTTCGTACCAGCTATCAAACAATCGATTTTAGTATGGTGAACTTCAAGTGAGATTTGAACCCCTAATTGTTCAGTGCTGTAATCGAAAATAGTATCAGTAAGATAAATGAAATATGAATAAATTACAGAAAAGTTAATTTAACACTGTAAATCAACCATTTCATGATATCGACCAATATCAGTTCTTAATCATAAGTACTAACTCGAATCTATAATCAGAATATGGACTACATTTTTAGTATGGGAGTCATAAATAACCACCAGAAAGAAATCTAAATATTCATTTTAGAAACTGTAGCACCTGGAAGTAAACTTACCTCAGGTTCCAGAACTATTACTTTCCGAGCATATTCTGGATCACCATTATCTTCAGAAGACCCAGCTTGACAAGCGGTTCTCTTTAAACTCGAGGATGGATTGGGATTACAGCTAACATCATTTTCAGCTTGAGAATCAAAAAACAAGTCAATAAGTGATACATCGGACAACCAACACAAATAAACTCAAAAATATAGAGCTTATTAACACAGCATACATATTAATATTAAATTGAGTAAGGAACTTCCATACCTTGTCTTAATTCTAATCTAGGATGAGGTGTGCTATAAGGTGATCACGGCTGATTATTATAAAATCTAGAACTGGAAAATCTACTAATCAAATCACCGAAAGTAGTACATATCATTTTTAACAACCAAATCGACATTAAAAATATCGAAATAATTTGGGAAGGTTTTTCCAATTATAAAGGTGAGCAGCTGAGTCCAAAGCAATATTAACTTGTCAAATATGACATGATATTGAAATAACCAAGTCTATTTTTGTTTTGACTCTGAGTGAACTAAATATAGTACCTATCCCGCTATACTCTTCAAACTTGTGTTAATTTAGTTCGGTTATTGATTTACTCTAAAGAAGTAATTTGCGCTAAATCACGAAACATCGGATATTCTAACTTCTAATCATTGGGATATAATAAATATATCATTATTTTATTATTAACATTCTATCCAATGTTTAATTTATTTGAAATTATCAAGTCCAAACTTGGTAATAATACTTAAGAAGATTTGGCTCTAACATAATTCAAAAGTGAAACTTCCAGAATGTTTAAAACTCATTTCTGACGATTTAAGTCGAGAATGTCATTGTAACCGCGATATTGCTTAAATATGATAAGCATTATTTAGATGGACGCCAACTATTCTATATACTTCAGCACTGTCGACGTTACAAACATAAAGCGTATTGAGGAGTGGATATGCATAAATGTAGTCACTGTATGCTAAAGATAAGAGGGTATTAGTAGTTAGACAAAATGTATTTCCCTAATAGTTGTTGATATGAATAAGCATTTTTAGTAGTGTAAGTGAAATATACACCGCCTATTCTAAAAGAAATGTACACGAGCCTGCCTAATTTTCCTTTATTAGAGAGCATATAGCAACATTAACTCATGTATGATAGTGTGGATATTTAGAAGAAAGGATTGATCAATTATTGATTGATCGATAACATGTTCTGATTTACATTTTCAGTTTCCTATTAAGAATATTTACCTTTTGAAATTATCATTATAGGTTGTCAATCAATGAAAAATTTACAAAGTTTTTCACATAAAATTCCAACATACTTGTATTACCAATACTACCTTACATATAAGACTGACCTATTTTAGTCACTAATAAAGTAACATTTCATTGTAATAATGAACTTTAAAATTCACTTTATATTAATTTTTAAAAAACAGTTAATAATTCACATGATTTAATCAGTTAGTTGGTAAACAACAGGATTTAAAGTGAATATAAAGTTTCAATAGTTGAAATCATGAGTCAATTGAAGCTAGATTATCATGGAAAACCTGAAAGCATTGGACGGCCGTTTTGTCCTAGTATGGGAATCCTCGGCAGTGCGCATACACGATCCCCTCCCCGCGAGATACGAAGCCAGGACCTATCAGTCTCGCGCGCGAGTGCTTAACCATTAGACTACTGAGTCAACATCCAAAGGTTTTCCATGGTGGTCCAGCTTTAACTGACTTATGATTTCAACTATTAAAATTATTAAAAATCTCCACAAAAACCCCTTCTGATAATATAAAAAGTTTTCAAATGATTTAAGCTATCAGTATAGCATTGTAAATATTGTTGAGTTTGGTTAAAATCATGAATCCATCAATGTTAAGCCACCAATGAAAACCTAGAAGACTTGAATGACCGTCTCGTCCTAATATGAGACACAGAAGTGACCATCCACGATCCCGCAAGTGGGAATCGAACCCATCACCTTCGGTCTCATGAGAGAACGCTTAACCTCTAGACTACTGAGTCAGTATCCAACGGTGTTAATGTTTAAATCCAATCCACCCACGATATTGTGTGACCATTTCTATCACAACTGGACACGATGTAGTTGCATGCATCACCATATCAGAAAACATGCGTATCATAGGTTATTATGTTGAGAACGAGTACTTTATGATTTTAAAAAATCCCCCACTAGTTAGGATTTGAGATATAAATCAGTAGTAGATAAACACCATCATTTATGTAAGAGCGACCATAATGCTATGTTTGCTAACAGCACGAGTATAGTATAGCGAATAAATGATAAAATTAATGCGTTGTGATTAACATTTGACTAAACTAATCGATGACAGGATAAAGGTCTGTTCTATACAACGATATTTGATTGGATCAGTGGTGTTAATCAATCTTACGATGAAGAGCGTAAACCTGTAATTACTTACTAAGGAGTAATATTTTAGATTGATATCATGAATGGATCGATTTTGTTTGCAGTTACTATTTTCGAGCCCTTTTATTAACTTGTTTGACAGACAGCTTCATTCGAACAGTAACAATTCGCCTATTTCTTTGTATTAATATGATCACCATCTTGTCTGTATAAATGTGTATATGCTTGATCACATGTGACAGCCTACGCACATATTCCTCATTCTACCCGATATGTTAATCGCATAAATATCGCTCGACGAATCGTTCTCCTCCTTCCTCATTCAGTGATGTTTGATTTTAACGCAGTTTCTATAGTTAATGGACAGTAATTATTCATAATAAATGCACTATCTATTGGGTTAACCTCTTATTTAGTGATATACAACAAACAGGTGAAAACTACAAATTTTTATCCCAATACGTTATCAGAACTAGAGAAAAATCATTTCTTGAACCACCCTGACGGTGAAGCAGAAAACTTTACTATATTAATGTTCACATTTTCTGATTTTAAATTTTTACTTATAAGGAAATGACTGATTGATGTACATACTCATTGTGCATAAAGCCCATCCTTAAAATCAGCATTATCAAGTTAAAGATAGGCGACTGAATGACATTTCATTAAATAACCATGGAAAAAAACTAGTATATCGTATGAAATTGTTAGAGGCAGTACACTGGATATCAGCCTAATTACCCTACATAATCGAAACACCAAGGAGTGCTGAAACAATTAATCTAGGAAAATTACTATAACATGTATAGCAACAAAACATTATCTAAATCAATATCACTTATACTCACCTGGGAAATCAGATTTATTGAAAGTTGTTGATTGTATGACACTAGTATCGTCCACTTTTTTCATGGGCAGTGATCTTTATTGTCTTGTTAGTTGAGTAGAAAAAAACAATGTAAACGTTTCCAACAGATTCTATGAATGCATCTATTACTTATTATGTCTTCGTAACAAAGGAACTACTCTCCCAAGTCAAAGATGAAATGATAATATTGTTTAAGTCCATATAAAGCATTGTTAGAAGTGTCCTCAAGAAAGATGGAGGAAGTATTGATTGGGAAATCCATAAAGAATTTCAATTGTTTATTCATTTGTGAGTCTGACCGAAATTCGAAAATACAAAGCTAATAATCCAACTGAGGAAATTAACCAATAAATATATACCAGTGAAGGTGGCAGATGATGTGATGAAGGGGGTGTTCAGGGAAAACACATGACCACCTCGTTTTCGAGTTAAAATTCAGTAAGTAAAACGATTGAATGGCTACTGTCAAGCTTAATTCACTCGTTCAAGGTTTAACAAAGTCTGGTCAATAGCAGAATTGATGTACTGACACACTGGGCTGCTTATGAATAGACACACTGACTAACTCAGTTGAAAATTAAGACAGGGATTTTATAGGCCTCAGGATAGAAGTAGGTTACGATTTATACCTTAGATGAAATGAAGCCAAATTTCAATTGGATAAAAAACAAATTGAAATAGACATACAAAGTGAACATGTCTGTTCCTGTCAGATTGAGTATTTAATTTGCAGACGGTATCCCTTGTCCATCTATCTCCCAATATTATTCTGAGTGGGTCAATCTGATTGGCTTATTTTCTAAAATCACTACATTAAATTCTTAGTATCGCTTACCTATTCATTGTTTTTAAGTCTTAAATTACCCTATGGTTATTCTGAGTTATTAGGATAGTCAGGACAATCTAGTTAAGACTAGGTCAAAAGTCAGATAGTTCACCCCCACCCCATTCAAAAACTCTGAGCCGTCTATGCGTAATCAGTAATGCTGGTTCCAATCCAGTTCACTCGCATAGCGTCCTATTTTGGACGTTTCTCTCCGATTCAGTGTAGGACATTGCACAGTACGAATACATTTTCACAACTAACTAAAATCACCTCCAGAACAACTTGAAACAATGGATCATCAAATAATTGTTTTGTTCTAATTAAGCAGTCCTCTTTAGTATTTATAAGTATTAAACAGAATGAAATCTGGGGAATCAAGATTTTTCGGAGTATCCGAAACGGTTTTATCAATTATACTTACAATTTCTATCAATCTGTTAGATAGTGCGATGCTCATCTGATATCATTGGTAGATAACTTTCTCATTCATGATATAATTGACTCAATGGATCATGAGTTCTCACTAGATTGTCAAAAAATCCATATGAAAATTAGTCATTTGTGATTGCATAACAACTATTTATATGTTTTATTTTGAAGGTTCTTCTGTTACCAACTGAAAACAGTTGGACGAAACTATTATCTAATACTAATTGATCTTCAATAGTTCTCATATTGTTGACAGTTCACAATGAAGAATACATTCAAAATGAAACAGGTATAACATCGAAATTTTCTCGATTAATATTAGTAGTGATGTTTATAGTTAAAATCTTTAAATTATCAATAAACCATCAAAATTGTTAATCTACTTACTAATATCTCCATAAAAGAAATATTAATTAAATCCAAATCTAGATCAATACCAATAATATGTTAGATAATCACAGACAGTTCAACATTATTAGAGTCAATAAAATTCACAAACCTGGATATATCACATTAGATAAGATGAATTATGACAGTAAACTTCTTTATATAGAATAGATGGACTATGGTTAACAATAGTGAATTGTAAATAACATTAATTAATCAATGTATTGATTAATATATTCTAAGTTATTAAATGAAAGGCTGATTATTTAGCTAATTGGTTGGTTGATTATATTAAGAATTGGCCTAATTCCACCGTTAACATTAGTTGGCGTAATTTAAGTTTTGTTTACTTTCTTAATAGTAATGATATATATATATATATATATATATATATATATATATATATCAACAAGCGGGATAGAATTCACCGTCGACTAGACATATAAACAAACAGATGTAAAGTATAAATGTTTGTATGTATATTCTATGTGCTGATAAATATTATCGATACACTTCAGTGTATTTCTAAATGAATTAAAAGTTTTTCAAAGACATTTGTAGTTTTGATTATGAATTATCCCTAGCTAGAAAACCATTACGAAGCAAAGAGTACGAGACTGCTACTTCGTCTAAGTTTTGAGCTCTTTAGGAGTGTACAGTTACGGCTTTATACGAAATCTCAAATAGAGATTGAAACAATTTTCCAGTGCTTTATAGTTTTCAGTGGTTTACCAGCTGATATCAGCTAGTTATTCATTTTGCCTTCAAGATTATGTTCATTTAAAGCACACAATTTTCTAAACATAATCTAAATTGGTGGATGAGATGTGTATGGATTTCACTGAAAGTCTAGCATTATTTGTTGCACCAATCAAAAGTTACAAGATTTAAATGGTCTTTCCATCCAAATTTTGAACCCCTTTTATATACTCTAAAATAAATAACACAATTAACATATGCTTCTTGATATTTTTCAACTATCCAATTTGTTTTTAAATATAAATGAATGTTTTAAAGTAATTAAAGTTATTGGAAGAAAACCTTATAACCGAATTTCGTACCACATGACACTGGTCAGCATGTTGTACTTTCGACCTTGATGGAACTGAGCCCTACACTTAATCAAGCTTCACAGTTTGAGTTGTTACTACAGGGCTACTCGGACCTAAACTGACCACCTGTAAGATCGAAATATTTATATTAACTGATCATTGAGTAATGACTGATATTAGGTTTGTCTAGTTTTTGGTTTGAATGGAATTTTATTTAGTTAGTTACTATATAGACAATAGTCTAATTGATTCGGTTTAGTATGTACTTAGCTTTTATGTTAGATGGTAGTGTACAATACTATGAAGCTTCCAATCCTATTAGAAGTAACATATGTCATTGAAAATCACAGGAAGTTGAGAAATGCTCCAAATTGCCTGATTTTAATTAAAATTCGTGACCATAAAAATTTGGAAACAGTTTAAAAAGTGATCACGTTACAAATATTCACTGAACTAAACTGACATCTGTTTTCATTAAAAACCTGATTTCGAGAAAAAATAGATTGATGGATGAAAGAGAATTCATCAGAAATATGCCATTAATGAAGCCAAGTTTGTTTGTTATCTTCCATTCATATGCTAATTAATTAATTCCAATTTATCTTAAAAACAAGGAGGATTTCCGTTATACCAAACAGTGAAGTATGTTTTGGAAAATTTGGTAAGTTGTTTTACTGATATTTATCAGTTTACTTCAAGGTGAAATAATTATGGCCATACCCCATCACTATTTTGTTAAGAATTAAAATAGGTTTATAAGATGAACAATCATTTCCGGTTAGTTTATAAGTGAACGATAAAAGCTTATGTAATTTCAAAAGGATGAAGAGATTTTTCATTTTCAAAACATCTGAATTTATTTCAATAAATAGGTCAAATAATTTGTGTGTATTAGACTTTTAAGTTTATTCATAGGAAAGTAAGTTTAGAAAAAAGAAGTCATTCTGAAAAGTAGGATGTTTTCGGATAAAAAAACGTCGGAACTCGAAATAGAAACTAACTGGTTTTGTCCTACGTAAAGAAAACATTCGGAATAAAGTGTCTGTTCTTGTTATAACTTATCCGGAATGTGTAACAGATATTTCGGGTCAATTTTTACTTCCTCTGACAATGAAATTCATCTTGTTCAAGTTTTTAGAATCATAGTTATTGCCTTACTGATAGAGATCGGCAAGTCTGAAGCCTAATTTTAGAATTTCTCAAGCATAACCTCTAGATCATGAAATACAGTACAACATCGTATTAAATAATTTTCGGCGATATAACTAAATATGCGCGAAATCAGACAGCTGACATAAATCTAGAATAACAATGAATATATCAATTCCACTCTCTTGAAAGGATTCAAAAGATTTGGATAAATTCTGAAAGGTACTAGTTAATAAATGAGGGTTAAATTACACCATGAACGCTATTAATAATAGTTTAATCAATTATAAATATTAATAAGTGTACACAGGAGTGTTGATATTCGATACAATGAAGGGAATGACACACTGGATCATAGTAAGACTATCTAAGATGTAGATCACATGTAACGGTAAATTGTGATCAGCTAGCGAACGAACATAGACAGTCAGCTTTGATAAATGTTTGAAACACATACTGTGAATTCCTTTCTATTATTTCCTATCAATCGTTAGTCGGAATTGGATACCAAGCATGATGAACCAGTATGCTCGGTATAGGGTTCGTACTATTTAGTGTATCACTCGGGTCTGTTGTGAGTGTATAAATCGTAATATGTTGTTGTATTAATCCCGTTTCTGTTAAATCACACTGCAAAGGAAGAGTTCATACAAATTAAAATTCCTATAAGAACAAAACTGGAAACTCAAGCGTATCGAAAGTTAGTTTATATTGGTTATATCCTCAAGTAAGATGTTGATGCTTATTAAAATTATTATTATTATTATTTTAACACATAAGTATAGGTACAGGGAGGCACCAAATACATATGCGCCACACAAATCTCAATTAATTTGTGTGAGGGCTGTGATACTGCCCGGGTGCCCAAACCGAAGCTTATTAAACCTGGCTTATTAAAATAAGCCAGGATAAATAGCAGTATATCTGCTAAATGCAGAAATATGGTAAACTGACTACTTACTCTTCTTTAGAAGCACAGTTAACTTTAGCATACATTAACACCACTTAAATGAGGCTCATATTTAGACCATAAGGGCTAAAATGTAGTTCACATCTGTTTTTTCACAATCTCAAGATCTATCGTGGTCAGCTACACAACAAGAAATGCAGCATGTAATTATAACCCAGGGATATCAGATTAGGAAGTAGAAAGTACACTAACAATTTGTGAATATAGTAATGTGGCTATTTAGTGAATAAAAATTTTAGATTTAGATAAAAAAGTATCAGAAAGTTCATTGTTCCATACATCTTAACTATAACCGACACAATTATAGAATTCTTTATTCAGTTTAATAATTAAAACTATGCATTCTAAAAAATGGCTCTATGCCGAAACCTTCGTATTAGTGTCTATTATATATTAAGAGATGATTTTTTGATAAGTCAAGTAACGCAATTTGATAGGTGAAAAGCAACTGATTTACCTCAAAAGAGTGAAAGTATTATGTAAGTCACATTAACAAGTACCTACTAATATATTCATCAGTAGCTTAAAATTTAAATCAAAAAGACATTCAAGTATTTCTGTTTCCTCCCGTCTTTTATAAACATCCCATATTCAAGAATTGAAAATAATTTAAATCCATACAATTTCCAAGTCTCATTTAATTTTTTTTGGAAAATACACATCAAACTGTAAAAAAGGAATCAGAGTTCATTTCAAGCTCATTATGAGTGTACATGATATTACGATTTGTTATTTTCCTGAACAAAATTGTTTAGATGAATAAAAAGGGAAAT